AAGTGGGCCTGACCTAGGGTGAATTTTAAATAGGGACAATTTTTAATGATTTTAAATAGCCACAGCCACTAATATTTGGATTTTAATTGGTTTTTAGAAGGGGTAATTCTGTATATTGTTTTAACATGCTGTGAGCCGCCCTGAGTCCCATGGGGAGAAGGGCGGCATATAAATTTTGTAAAATAAATAAATAAATAAACTAATGGTCAGCACTAAATTGGCATTAGATAAGAGTCAATGGCACTCAAGAGGGGTTGAACTTTGACCATTTGTGGTAACATAACAATTCCAGGTTCATCACTTGCTGGACTCCATCCCCAGGCTCTGCCTGTCCTCCTCTATCAATAGACATTCTCCCCAAATAAGAGAAAAATACATTTTGTACATTTATTTGGACTGCCAGTTCTCCTAGTAGCTGAAATCGGAGAATAAATCCTCAATAAGATATTCAAATGAATGTTGTTGTTGTTTTTGTTGGTTTCCCTGAGGGGAGCTATCTGATATTTAAGTTGCATTTGTTTGTGAGATTTGTCTATGTACATTTGGCAAATAAATAAATAAAAGTTAAGAGAGTTTGTATGCAACAAGCGATTGAGATTTCTCCCTGGAATTTACCATTCACACGTAGTCCTTGTGTTGTGAAAAGGGGGATGAGCTATGGTGATACAAGAGGACTATAACGGACACCATTAATCACTTTAATTCTACCACCTGATTTGATTCCTGGAGTTACAACATGTATGATTCATCTTTACAAGATTGTCTGGACTCCTCTGACGATTCCGCCTCTAATGAGGTCTGTCATTCCCAGGAAGTCTTTCAGAAAAAGGTATGGGACATTAACTCCCATTAATTTAATAAAGCTCTTCTTCGTCATTCTTCAAACAGCATTAAAGCTGTGTATCCTTCAGGTAACCTTTTATAACTTTCAGTCCCTTTTTTCCTATTGCTGAAGTGTTGTGAAAGCTAAAGGGGGGAGGGTCCAAACTCCCCATTTCTTGGTCCAAGGAAGTCCAGTTGGCTTTGAGTCTTTGTGGTCTGTCTTTACAATTTCTGCTTCAGAGATTTCATTTAGTTTATCAGCTTGGGCCTCCATGGATTACTCCTGAACCGTCCTGTACTTCATTTTGGACAACTGCTTGTGCTTCACCCTTGACACAACTTCACTCTTGGCAAATCTCTCTTATTTAAGATCAATCAATTTAGAACTCGCTTCAATATTGAAGGAGAAAACTTCTCTTAATCTCACTTTCTCGTATTAGTCATAAGTGGCCCAATCTACATGTAACTTCCCCTAGATGGGGAGATGCTCTCTCTTATTTCCCCATGCACAAAAAACACCCCCCCATGTTCATTTCTTACATCCAGGAAATACCCTTCCATACGCACACCTGGCACACAGGCAAACGGACCCAACTCTAGTGTACTGATAGAACCCCTGAGGCTGGGCCAAATCCCCCGACGAAGGGGATCTAGAAGACCATCACTCACCTCCTTGCAATGTATATTCAGTGACTGCCCTGCTGAAGGCTCCCAGGCCAGCTCCATTATAAGAAGCCACCTGGATTTCATACTGAGTCCAGATGATCAGGTCTTTGATCAAGCAGTAGTTTATCTCCGCGCTGGTTATGTTCTTGTATTGATACTCCCCAGGAAGTCCTGCTAAGCGGTATCTATAAAGAGAAACGATTCTTGATTGCAATATGTTCAAGGATTTCAATGAAAGAAACCCATTGGGTTGGACTCCTGAGCGATAGTAATGGGTGGTGGCAACATCGCCCTTCTAAGACCACTAACCAAAAAACCAACAAACCACAGATCCAGTCCATTCAGACCGTGACCCCATTCCCTAGATCAGTGTTTCTCAATCTAAGAATTTAGGATGTATGGACCTCAACTCCCAGAATTCACCATGCTGGCTGGGGAATTCTGGGAGTTGAGGTCCATGCAATGTAAACTTGCTGAGGTTGAGAAACATAGTTCAGACAAAGTCACTCTTGGAAAAGCCATGAATGTAGGCTTAGTCCTAAAAGTGAAGATATTCTCCGGCATTAGCCAGCTTTCTTCTCTTCCTTTTCTTAAGCCCTAATTACGTGAACAAGCCAGAACTGATATGGACTCAGAAGGTATTGGTAGGGTGGTTTCAGCCCTTCATCTGGTGCTTAGAGGTTGCTGAACCAACATTTTATTATTATTATTCATGCTCAATCCAATGGGATTGTCTAACTGGCCAGCTCTTTTGCAGTTTTAGAAATCTCACTTTATTCGGCTGGACTTTGATGGTAAGAGAAAAATAAATTAAGCCCTATTTCTCTTGGGAATGGGATTAACTCTGCAAACATCATCACTACCACCAGCACAGCAAGAACTATTCATAATAGCGGTATTAACAAACTATTAGCAAGATTATTATCAACACATTTAAAAACTTGCAAAGACAGAATTACAATGATTCTTATCTGATTGCCAAAATACTTATATGATGAGCCTGGGTGGCGCAGTGGTTAGAATGCAGTATTGCAGGCTCATTCTGCCAATTCCTAGCAGTTCGATCCTGACTCAGCCTTCCATCTTTCCGAGATCGGTAAAATGAGGACCCAGATTGTTGGGGGGGGGGAGGCACCATGCCGACTCTATAAACCGCTTAGAGAGGGTTGTAAAGCACTGTGAAGCGGTTTATAAGTCTCAGTGCTATTCCTATATTCTGATCTCATTATAAATACATGTCCAGGACTAGAACAAAAACTTGTGTTTTATCCTGTTTTACAGCTGTTGGAAGAAAAAAAAAATTACTGCCTTGTGTAATAAAAATGTTGATTTAGTGTCCAACTTCCATTTGCTTCCTCCCTCCTCTCTGACATACTTAAATATTATATTTGATCAGGCTGCAGCTTTAAATCACTTTCCTTGTTTATTCCTTATTTGGTTCCCTAAAACGAAGAAGTGGATGTGATCAGGCTATCCCCAGGATGCATGCCGAAAGCAGAATGTTAACAATCATGGAAGTAATAAGGCTTTCTTAGAAGTGAAAAAGTTGATGGAAAATTCTGAAGAAACGACAAATGATTAAGAGTTTGCCAGTTCAGGCTACTAACAGGATTAGTCCTTTTCTTGCTTTACCACTGCATCCAAATAAGTAAATTTGCTGTTGTGTTTGTTTTACTCAAAGCAGGCAAAAGACGGAGAGTTCCTTCAACACTGTAGAACACATAACATAGAATAGTAAGGTTGGAGGGGACCATGGAGATCTTCTAGTCCAGGGGTAGGCAACCTTGGCTCTTTTATGACTCGTGGACTTCAACTCCCAGAATTCCTGAGCCAAGGTGCCTACCCCTGTTCTGCACTGCAAGTATCCAACAAGCCATTGTTAAAACAGGTTTAGCGCGATAGGCAAGTGGAATCCATTGCTCCAAACTCTCAAAGTCAGTCAAGGGTCTTTTACCTTATGATGTAGCCATGGAGGACACCATTATGTTCACTTTCGGGGGGAGGCTGCCACTGAACCATGATGGATTGATTGGTCCGTCCGCTAGCCACGATGTTTTTGGGCGCCGCACTTGGGGGTTCTTCCGGTAACATCAATCTGAGCACAAGAAAAGTCAAGCAAAACGACAACGACAGATCTTTACTCGTATCTTTGCTTAAAAAGAAAAGAAATCTCGTTTGCTTCACGGAGGCTAAATTGGAAAGCAACAAAGCAGAGTTGCTGTGGACATTTGTTGCAACAAATCAGTGTAATGGAAGAATCAGTTAGGCAGGCGTTCAAGAAAGAGCTGCTTATTCTAGCTCAGGGGTGGGCAACCTTGGCTCTTTTATGACGTGTGGACTTTAACTCCCAGAATTCCTGAGCCAGCTAGCTCAAGTATGCAGCTTGCCCTAATCAAGATAGCAAGCTTGGATGAGGTCACAGTTTGGCCCCAAATTTGCAATCCTGATGAAATTGGCTCCTTCGGTTTTACTCCCTCAACGTCACCCAAGGTGAGATGTTCCCACCACTTCACACCAGTTCACAATCCCAAGCCCCTTTCTGCTTTGAGTAATAGCGCTAGCGAGTTTTAATCAGATGTGGTTGAGCTGTGCTTTTATGGCTTTTCCAGTGGGATTCCAGTAAGGAACAACTAATGTGCTGGAGCAGCTACGCAGATGATAAAATAAAATTTAAAGTCATTTAAGAGAGAGATTTGAAGCGATTTCTCTGCACTCGTGTTGGTACACAAAGGCTCAAACAGCCAACTTCCCTGAAAATACACCCAGGTTGAGGGAGAATTTAGAGCACTGAAACAGGATGTTTATCTTCATTCAACCTCTCAAAAAGATCTCCAGAAGGTTAGGAGAGATATTGGAGAGGAATCTCCCGAGACAGCAAAGGCAGTAGCCACCTTTCTCTTAATTCATAATCTGCGTTTATGCCTTCTCTCTTTCAAGTGCCCATCACATTTTTCTCTCGGACCTACGTTGAAGTAGCAAAGTCAAGCAAGCCATTCAGATTATAAGAGTTTCCAGCCATAGTTTTTGTTGCTTGGAGAACCAATGATTAGGAAAATCCACATCATTTTGGCTGGTGTTTCTACAGACAGCATGGGACTGCTTTTCCATGGACAAACCCTTGATTCCCAACAAACACAATCCACCTGGCATTCATCAAGAGATATCATGTCAGCCTACCTGCTGGTTTCTAGGCTGTACTGCCCTTTGCCCACTTGGTTAACAGCACAGACTCTAAACTGGTAGGTCCGGGCTGGGGTTAACCCGCTCACAGTGATGCTGGTCAATGCTGGATCAATACTGGAGAGATGAACTTTCCAGGGAGAATCTAGTGGAGAGAAAGAGAGTTCCTATCATGAATGCTCCCCCAATAAGTCATTAATCAAGTAGGCTTACTCTGTCTAAGTGTCGGTTCTGGATGACTCCCAGAAAATCAATACGTAGTTCCCCGAGTCCTGTCCCTTGTCCTGATTGTCAGTGTTATTTTCCACGGATGGACCTAACATTTTGTAGACCTCACATTACAGGGTACCAAACATTTCAGAGGAGAGCCCAAGTATTCAGACAGCAACAGGAATTCCTTTATTCGTGATTTCTAAATTAGAGCTATTAAGAGATCAAAGATATATTTTTTTTCCAACTCAATCCATATACCCATTAGGCCAAAGTTCTTGACAAAGTGATTTGGCCTTACTAGACCTAGCTTTATTACCATAAAGACAGAGTAGTTACACCCCAATCCAGAATATATCGACTGAGAAGATACAAGCTCAATTCAAATCAATGCATCTTGCTTACAAGTAAACACTCTTAGGAGTGGACTGCTAGTCAATTAATAGCCCCTCCCCCTTCCACCCATTGATCAGTTGCTTAGCTGCTTAAAATAACGTAATAGAGGACACTTCAACATTGAATGTAACAGGCTTGACTTAACAACATAGACATATGTTTTACGTTTGAAAAAAAAACCTATTTTCACTTCTTTGCTTAAAGAAGTGTTTATAAAAATGTCCTCATCAGCAATAAAACATCTTCATGTAAAGTAACAGATTAAAATTCAATTAAAATGTACCTTTTAATCCACTTTACAATTATCCCAGGCTGTATGTCCCATCTAATCCTCCCTTAACTGTTCTTTTCTAAGTTGAAGGGTCTTAATCTTCTTAATGATGTTTTCTCATATTACCTCTTAATGATAGGAGTGGGTTTTATTTTTTTAAAAAAAAATGTAAGTTATAAGCACAGTGGCTTGATGCCACTTAAGACTTAAAGAGTTTTCCTCAAATACCTGAATTGTTGTGCAGGTAAAGTTAGTTTTCCTAAAGACTAAAATTGTGGTTTTATTTTTCCTTAGTGCCTTTGAAGGTCTTCTAGAGACGTCCAACAAAAATAGTTTTTGCCAAAATAAGGTATTTATAATTACTTCACATGGTGGTGGACGGAGATGCTGTAAGTTACTAACAGGAAGATGGTTCCGAATGGGATAATTTATCCCTTTTTCCTGGGCATGACCCACTCCTTTGGGTCTAAACCGTTTGAGATGTTCACACAACCAAATAACACTCCAGTTTTTATCTGCCTTCTGGATTCCTGCTAGAAGGCAGGAATTTTACAAAAGTGAAATGAAGAGCTGTCCTTATCTGGTAATCTCAGAAGCATCCAGTTGTCCTAACTCATACCATGAACCTTCTCCATCTCTATTCCATCCCTAGAATAGTTACTTAAAACTATTTTCCAGAATATATGTCCAGGGGATCCCCCCCCTCCCCTTCACATTCCACTCCAAGCCTGCCAATATATCTCTTTTATCCTTCTTCCACAGCCCTTTTCCATCAGAGTTACTTTGTTCATTCTTGGGATGGGATTTCTTTGATGAAGGGCACAAGCTGGGTTAAGACTGAGCATGCAAGTGCACACATGTGTGTGCGCGCAGGGGAACGTACATATATCTCTCGAACGTCTCCTGAGATCAACGCCCACCTTACGTTGCTTTGTCTGCATGTTGTTAAGCATCCCCTTAAACCAGGGATCTTCAAACTTGGCAACTTCAAGACTTGTGGACTTCAACTCCCAGAATTCCTCAGCCAGCCAGTCTTAAAAGTTGCCAAGTTTGAAGACCCCTGCCTTAAACCATGGGTTGCCTGGGACTCAAGTCCTGAATGCATGGTGAATTGATAGAAAAGGATTCCAACTTTCCTCCAACTTTTTCTAACTAGAGTTTTCAGCTTTTCAATTCAACTCGACTCGGCAGCGGCTTCTTTCACCAGCCTAAGAGGAGAGAGAGCTTCGCTCGGTGTCCACATAGTTAAGCTGATGGAACATTTCTCCACCAGAGAGTGACACCGCGTGTGTCACCCCGCAATAAATAAAAACTGTATTCATTAACATATTAATAAAGGAGGAAATGAGCGTGATGGAGACAGATGGGTTGCGTATCTCTCAACCCATCTGTTTGGCAGTCCATTTGTAACACCACACCCAGCAGCCGAGCAGACGGAAGGACCCTGATGGAATTCACACGCAGCTAGCTTGGAATAGCTCCCTTCCCCGCACTTCACGCAGGAATGGGATGGTGGCTTTCTCCGTGCCACCAGCCTAGTAGGGTTTTCTCTGCTGGGAATCCTGGACACTTGGAAAAAAAATATGTGTGTGTGTGTTGTGGGAGAGTGACTTGGCCTGACATTTTCAAAGGGGAAACCTCAAAGGTAAGGCAGCTGTGCTGGGAGGGCTTAGTAATCTATTCCGCTGCCAATGCCTGTGGCTCAGGCGCTCCGTTTCTTCCCTGCAAGGCTGCGAAGAAATGAAAGCTTGAAATCTGCATGAAATAAAGCAGAATCGCCTTCTTTCCATCCGAGGCTGCTGCGGCGATTATTATGAGAAAGCCATCTGCCTCTGCACTGGGTGGATGGGATAAATTTCTCTCGTCAGTATCAAAAGATGCTCCAGAGTCCCCCCCCCCCAAAATTTGGAAAATGGAGAAGCTGTCTCAGATGACTTTTCGAAAGGGCTGGCTGAATAACAGAGTTGGAAGGGACCGTGAAGGTCTTCTAGTCCAACCCCCTGCTCAAGCAGGAGACTCTATGCCATTCCAGACAAGTGGCTGTCCAGTCTCTTCTTGAAAACCTCAGACTGCTAACCCCTAGCATGGCTATCTAAAAAATCCTGAAAATATTTTGGAAAGCAAAGACCTCAAGAAATACAGATATTTATTTGCAAGTCACATCGGGTATTTTTATTGAATTAATTCAAATTATCACCAAGGTGGCCTGCCAAATTTGCATGGTTTCTACAGGGGAGAACCGTCTGCATGGATAGTTCAGTGTAGCCCCTTTCTCCTACTTGTCCTCCCTGATGGAGGTTGCTTGGTTTCTTCACAACAGCTACGTAAGCTTTAAGTTGGATCATGGTTGCCCCATTTTGAGAAAGTTCCAATCCTAAGTATCAGTACTTTTCAACAAACACAGTGGAAAGGTCTATCTAGGTGTTGAGACACCAACTCCTTGTAGGAGCTGGATGTGGTCCAAAGCCGCTGGACAATTACAGTATATGTCCTCACTACGCTTCCTGTTGATAGTGGGGAGATACGTGTGATCCTTCAGGTGTGTTGGGACCACAACTCTCAGTGTTCCCCACCTGCATGGTGAAGGAGTTACAATCTGTCAACCTGAGGGTAGTCAGCAATTCCCCACCGAGTCTGTTCCCTCCATTTCTCCCTCTTCCACAAACCACATAGATTATTCCATTGCCTTTCACAGGTGAGCTGCTATGAATCAAAAGAGGATTTGTTGCTGTGTTGGTGTCCAAAGAATGTGACAAAAATGAATAGGAAGGTGAAAAGAAGGCCGGGCCGAATTAGTAAGCAACTTAAAGAAGTTTAATCAAGAAAACGGAAGGGCAGACACTAACTAGAATATTGAATGACCATAAATGAGCTAATTGTCACTGGTCTGTTCCCTGAAGCTATTCTGTTCCATTTGTTTACTGCTAGTGTAAACACCACTCAAGAGTGCTTAACCTGAACCTGTTCGATCAACTCAGCAACAGCCAAACCTATTAATCTCTCCACCGGCTTAGAATTGTGTTCTGTTTATATGCTGCATCCGTAGAATGCCTTAGTCTTTTTTTTTCCCCGCCCTCACTTCCTTGGTGGAAGATAAAAGATCTGGCAAGAAGAGAGATTAAGGTAAAAACTAATATAAACCAACCCTATTCATCTCCCGGGCCCTCGGCTTTGCGGGGAAAACAGTAGTTTGAAGAGGGGGGGAAGGGGGGGGGCTTTTTTGCACAGCCCAAGGACCCAGCCAGTTTGAGGAGCACCTTTAAAAATTTAAACAGCAAGTTTCTCCTAATCATCAAACTAACCCTTTTTCAAAGGCTGCTTCTCCCTGAAGCACAGAATCAGCCAGAAGAAAAGGCTGGATATAAAAATCACTTATTCAACGCTACAAAAAGAACACGGCTATTCCACGGACTGGAATATTTCTTTGTGCCCTTTTCTACTTTGCTTTCAGAGGAAGCATTACATAAATACCCACGACCAATTTCAGGGCCTTTGTCCTTCCTAAGCAGCCATTCCCGAAGATCTAGAGAAGTTCGGTAGAGGGGACCATATCAGCTGTACTCAGTGGACCTTCATAGCGTCTCTCACTTGGCATCAATTGTCACATCAACATGATGTTCTCCTGCCAGGTTCTTCTCCCTTGTGATGGACAACGCCTGAATTTTTTCACTCCCCAGAATCCCCCGGTGGATAGAGAATACTTGATCACGAACTCAACTCTGCAGGGGCAAAGGTATCGTGACCATCACGCTGTAAAAGGCAGCTGGAGCTTACTCCAGAGGTTGAGTTGCGTTCCAGGTTGAAGGTGGAATGGCCTGGTTACCCTCTCTTCCACCCCATTCATCACTAACCCTACTCTTCCTTCTTATAAGTCGCATGTGTGCAGGGCATGCGCTGAAGGGCCTCAGCATCCTGTGTAATGAATACAACTCTCAAGAGATTTCTATTTTGATGCCTCGGAAATGTTCTCCTTTCAGAGGAAAAGGGGAGATGGAGAGAAGGGTCTTCCGCTCCCCTACACTGTCCTCACGGTGGTTTTCTGTGCCCTGAACAGCTGTTTCCACCCTGCTTTGAGAAGATGGCCTGACAGGGGTCCAAAATCCTAAGCCCTACATAAAACGAGAATTTTATCCATCCCAAATGCTAGGCAGAAGCTCTAGGCAGTTCTGGAAGGCACCAAGCTGACACAGGCCAATTTAAAACAATCACTTAAATTAAATCATCTGTAATTTTTATTCATTACAGCAATTGTGACAGAAAGGATCTCTTCTGCAAATTACTTTGACCAGAACGTATCTACAGATAACGCTTGTATAAATCCCAACTCTGCACTGAAAGAGAGATGGAAGACAATATTCAGATGGCGATAAAATACATTCCCATGTGTGACACCAAAATTATAGTAAGTGATGATGTTTTCTGCTATAATTCCTCTAATCTTAGCTAAGGATATGTTGACTTCCAGAGAATTCTTGAGAACACATAGAACAGGTTGACACTCTCTCTCTCTCTCTCTCTCTCTCTCTCTCTCTCTCTCTCTCTCTCTCTCTCTCTCTCTCTCTCTCTCTCTCTCTCTCTCTCTCTCTCTCTCTCTCTCTCTCTCTCTCTTGTTTAAAGGGAGCTAACAAAGTATTTACTAATATCGTATACCTGTTCTGAGTAATAATTACCATTTTGTAAGCCGCCCAGAAGAAACTACTACTTTGATTTTCAGAAATCATTCTCCCCCCCACACACAATATAAATTTAGAAGCTGCAGGTTACCATCCTCTGTCTTAAATTCATACTTAAGAAGATGCAGTTTCCTAGCTGCTCTTAATAATAGTGAGTTGAATTAAGGATTTTGTTCAGGCTATAAGTTGACATGTGCATTATATGTCATTAGAAAGTCAGTCAAGCTTTGGCAATCAAAAGGAGAGAAACGCTGAATAACTGTAGAACCCCATTTGGGAGCAGATGCACTGTATGGTAAAAATCAAACTCCTGTGTTTAGTTTTTTTTGCAACAGACACACCCCATAGCATCCTGTCTACAAATATCTCTTGACCCCTGGAGAATTACCCTGCCCCTGTCTTCCTTTGCAAGCGAGGATTTGGGATGTTCCCACATATTGTAACTACTTGACAGTATAAAGGTCCATAGACAGTTCAGATATGAAACCCTGATTCTTCATTTTTATAGAGTTGATCCAACTGATCTCACCCCCTTCCCCTTTCCTCCAATTATACAATTCTGTTGGAGCTCCACCATCCGCTCACTCCCTGGTTTTCTCTCCTTTCTGTAGGGGTGCTCGCAGATAGCAAAGTTCGTGTATTTGATGGGCACTGAGATATGCTGGTAGATTATGATGTTATCAAATAAAATCATAGGATTTGTCCGACAGTGTGTGAGAGTTCAGAAAAAAGAATCTTTTCATCCTCTCCAGGATTACCGAAGCAATTTTTGTAGGATATTATCAAATCTCTGCTGAGCTTCTTACACAATTTTAGAGGTGAATTATTACATTTTCCAGTTGACAATCCTCCCTTAGTCAATCGGTTAGATTCTGGCAATGGTTGATATCCTGCATTGCGTCTGACCACTCAGAATGGCAAAATCTCAGAAGGGAGTCTTTGTAAACTGGGCTCTGGTCATCCATGTGCAGTTCATCACCAGGGAAATTTAGAATGACAAAAATATCATGACTCCGACCACCACCAAAATTTCAGAACAATATCTGGACTTCACAACGGCAGCTTCCAGCAAGGGATAGCAAGGTGCTCACCCTAGGCTTAGGAAGCCAAATGTCATGCAGTACACAGCAGCTGGAAGAACAGATGTGGCCAAGGGAAGCTCCCAATTAAAGTCCCCAGCATGGCAGAGCAAGCCATTATTCGCTCAGTGAAATAGTAATTATTTTTAAAAATCCACACAAATAACATGCGCAGGACACCGGTTTTGCATGCCTTGCCAGGAGCTATTTTGAAGAAAGTGAGAAAGAGGAATTGGCCAGAAAGCCTCCAGAGGTGAAGGGGGCTCTTGACCATCACTTACTGTTCTCAGAGACTTCGACGATGTAGTGCAGAACGGGACTGTTTCCATCAAAGGGTCTCACCCAGGAGAGGATGACGCTGCGGCTGAAGGAAGAATTCAGAGTGGCAAGTAGGTTCTGTGGTGGATGTGGCAGCTCTCTGTGAAAATAAACCACCTGTTATTCCACCTGCCATTTGGACCAACAAGTAGGGACTTGACAAAAAAGTCTGGCTAGCCAAAGGATGCCAAGATGGTTACAAGTGGTCTGGATTAATCACCACGTCAAATAGTACTATGGTGGCGCAGTGGTTAGAAGGCAGTACTGCAGGCTATTTCTGCTGACTGCCAGCTGCCAGCAGTTCGGCAGTTCTATTCTCACCGGCTCAAGGTTGACTCAGCCTTCCATCCTTCCGAGGATGGTAAAATGAGGACCCAGATGGTTGGAGGCAAGATGCTGGTTCTGTAAACCACTTAGAGAGGGCTGTAAAGCCCTGTGAAGTGGTATATAAGTCTCAGTGCTTTTGCTATTGCTATTGCAAATAATGTTGGAACGTTGATGAGTTGTGTCAGGTTTCTAATTATGATTTATTTGGAAGACTCTCAGCTAATGGCACCGCTATTTAACCTAGGGGTAAAAAGCCAATTTTCACATTTGTGATTTGTTGGTGTTTTTGTGTAATTGAGGCAACTTGGTCCATAAATTCTTTTTATGGGGAGATTTTTTTTAATTGAAAAGCTGTAAAACTGAGGAGCAGACGATCAGAGTGATGGAATGGGGCGGAGTGAAGATTTAAATCAGAATTATTAATACTTAGGCAAGCAGAAGACATCATGGCTATTTGGAGAGAATTTCGAAACTCACTTAAGGTGGTGGAGATCTACCATTTTGGAGATCTACCAGTACAAGTCAGGGTTGGGAGATCCATAATAACATAATTGGGATTAAAAGTATACTCATGCAGAGTAAATGAAAACACTCACAAATACAATATAACAAGCACTCCTTTAGCATACAGTACTGGAAAAAAAATAGCCTTAAGACAGGACTTCTAAAAATGCATGGCATTAAGCGCACATAGACCTGTCCTCTCCGAAAGATGCGGAAAAGGAAGTGAAACATGCATTGTTTTCATCTGAAAAGCACTAGGAAAGCTTNTCTCTCTCTCTCTCTCTCTCTCTCTCTCTCTCTCTCTCTCTCTCTCTCTCTCTCTCTCTCTCTCTCTCTCTCTCTCTCTCTCTTGTTTAAAGGGAGCTAACAAAGTATTTACTAATATCGTATACCTGTTCTGAGTAATAATTACCATTTTGTAAGCCGCCCAGAAGAAACTACTACTTTGATTTTCAGAAATCATTCTTCCCTCCCCCACAATATAAATTTAGAAGCTACAGGTTACCATCGTCTGTCTTAAATTCATACTTAAGAAGATGCAGTTTCCTAGCTGCTCTTAATAATAGTGAGTTGAATTAAGGATTTTGTTCAGGCTATAAGTTGACATGTGTATTATATGTTATTAGAAAGTCAGTCAAGCTTTGGCAATCAAAAGGAGAGAAACGCTGAATAACTGTAGAACCCCATTTGGGAGCAGATGCACTGTATGGTAAAAATCAAACTCCTGTGTTTAGTTTTTTTGCAACAGACACACCCCATAGCATCCTGTCTACAAATATCTCTTGACCCCTGGAGAATTACCCTGCCCCTGTCTTCCTTTGCAAGCGAGGATTTGGGATGTTCCCACATATTGTAACTTCTTGACAGTATAAAGGTCCATAGACAGTTCAGATATGAAACCCCGATTCTTCATTTTTATAGAGTTGATCCAACTGATCTCACCCCTTCCCCTTTCCTCCAATTATACAATTCTGTTGGATCTCCACCATCCGCTCACTCCCTGGTTTTCTCTCCTTTCTGTAGGGGTGCTCGCAGATAGCTAACACGAGCAAAGTTCGTGTATTTGATGGGCACTGAGATATGCTGGTAGATTATGATGTTATCAAATAAAATCATAGGATTTGTCCGACAGTGTGTGAGAGTTCAGAAAAAAAGAATCTTTTCATCCTCTCCAGGATTACCGAAGCAATTTTGGTAGGATATTATCAAATCTCTGCTGAGCTTCTTACACAATTTTAGAGGTGAATTATTACATTTTCCAGTTGACAATCCTCCCTTAGTCAATCGGTTAGATTCTGGCAACGGTTGATATCCTGCATTACATCTGACCACTCAGAACGGCAAAATCTCAGAAGGGAGTCCTTGTAAACTGGGCTCTGGTCATCCATGTGCAGTTCATCACCAGGGAAATTTAGAATGACAAAATATCATGACTTCGACCACCACCAAAATTTCAGAACAATCCCTGGACTTCACAACGGCAGCTTCCAGCAAGGGATAGCAAGGTGCTCACCCTAGGCTTAGGAAGCCAAATGTCATGCAGTACGCAGCAGCTGGAAGAACAGATGTGGCCAAGGGAAGCTCCCAATTAAGGTCCCCAGCATGGCAGAGCAAGCCATTATTCGCTCAGTGAAATAGTAATTATTTTTAAAAATCCACACAAATAACATGCGCAGGACACCGGTTTTGCATGCCTTGCCAGGAGCTATTTCGAAGAAAGTGAGAAAGAGGAATTGGCTAGAAAGCCTCCGGAGGTGAAGGGGGCTCTTGACCATCACTTACTGTTCTCAGAGACTTCGACGATGTAGTGCAGAACGGGACTGTTTCCATCAAAGGGTCTCACCCAGGAGAGGATGACGCTGCGGCTGAAGGAAGAATTCAGAGTGGCAAGTAGGTTCTGTGGTGGATGTGGCAGCTCTCTGTGAAAATAAACCACCTGTTATTCCACCTGCCATTTGGACCAACAAGTAGGGACTTGACAAAAAAGTCTGCCAAGATGGTTACAAGTGGACTGGATTAATCACCATGTCAAATAGTGCTATGGTGGCGCAGTGGTTAGAAGGCAGTACTGCAGGCTATTTTTGCTGACTGCCAGCTGCCAGCAGTTCGGCAGTTCTATTCTCACCGGCTCAAGGTTGACTCAGCCTTCCATCCTTCCGAGGATGGTAAAATGAGGACCCAGATGGTTGGAGGCAAGATGCTGGTTCTGTAAACCACTTAGAGAGGGCTGTAAAGCCCTGTGAAGTGGTATATAAGTCTCAGTGCTTTTGCTATTGCTATTGCAAATAATGTTGGAACGTTGATGAGTTGTGTCAGGTTTCTAATTATGATTTATTTGGAAGACTCTCTGCTAATGGCACCGCTATTTAACCTAGGGGTAAAAAGCCAATTTTCACATTTGTGATTTGTTGGTGTTTTTGTGTAATTGAGGCAACTTGGTCCATAAATTCTTTTTATGGGGAGATTTTTTTTAATTGAAAAGCTGTAAAACTGAGGAGCAGACGATCAGAGTGATGGAATGGGGCGGAGTGAGGGTTTAAATCAGAATTATTAATACTTAGGCGAGCAGAAGACATCATGGCTATTTGGAGAGAATTTCGAAACTCACTTAAGGTGGTGGAGATCTACCATTTTGGAGATCTATCAGTACAAGTCAGGGTTGGGAGATCCATAATACCATAATTGGGATTAAAAGTATAATGCAGAGTAAATGAAAACACTCACAAATACAATATAACAAGCACTCCTTTAGCATACAGTACTGGAAAAAAAATAGCCTTAAGACAGGACTTCTAAAAATGCATGGCATTAAGCGCACATAGACCTGTCCTCTCCGAAAGATGCGGAAAAGGAAGTGAAACATGCATTGTTTTCATCTGAAAAGCACTAGGAAAGCTTNGTTGGAGCATTCACCGCTTCTGGAGGCAGGTTGTTCCACTGGTTAATTGTTCTCACTGTCAGGAAGTTTCTCCTTAGTTCTAGGTTGCTTCTCTCCTTGATTAGTTTCCACCCGTTGCTTCTTGTCCTGCCTTCAGGCGCTTTGGAGAATAGCTTGACTCCCTCTTCTTTGTGGCAGCCCCTGAGATATTGGAAGACTGCTATCCTGTCCCCACTCGTCCTTCTCTTCGTTAAACTAGACATACCCAATTCCAGCAGCCGTTCCTTATATGCTTTAGCCTCCAGTCCCCTGATCATCTTCGTTGCTCTTCTCTGTACTCTTTCTAAAGTCTCAACATCTTTTTTACATCGCAGTGACCAAAACTGGATGCAGTATTCCAAGTGTGGCCTTACCAAGGCATTGTAAAGTGGTATTAACACTTCATGTGATCTTGATTCTATCCCTCTGTTAATGCAGCCTAGCACTGTGTTGGCCTTTTTGGCAGCTGCAGCACACTACTGGCTCACCAAGTCTTAAGTTATCTCTGCAGATGACGAACCTTGATTTATCTCCTTCCTCAAAGAAAGGGGAAATGCAACCCACCTAGGAATTTAGCTCTGAGTACTCTCAGGAAGTTTCAATGTCAATTATTGCTGATCCTCGCTACTCGACACACAAAAAAGTAGTAATTGTACTTGACATCCTTAATTTAAATCTGTACTCATTTCTTTTCATGTTTTATGAAGCTGATGCGTACTTAGAGCTATCTAAAATCTCAGTGTGACCATCTTCGTAAACAAATGCATTTCCAGCTCGGTGCCGTTTTAAAACCGGCGTTTCAGATGTGGCTGACGTGGAGAAAAGAACTTAATTTGGCATCGCCGCATACGTGGTTCCTTACCAGCTTGGCCTTAACTGAAGAACTAAATTAGATTTAGTTGAAAGGGATCCCTGAAAGGGAACAAGCCTGCTTCTGACTGTTTATTAAATTCCAAATGAAAAGAGCTACTACCTTTTCAACAGCAACGGAGGCGACAGAAAGCCTCTGCAACAATTCTAAGGGCTAATGTAATAAGGGGAACTGCCTGATGCAAATCATAATTTCTACAAATGCAGATCGTCGCATTCTTTCACATATTATCTCTCAGGTGCAAGCAACCTGAGCCACTTGTGAATAACTAAAGTCAGTAACATTATTGTTTAATACCTGTGCTACAAGAACTTCCCCAGACTGCGTACCTTTCTCTGAGAATGGTTAGATAAGGCTTCCTGGCTCTTGGGGAAGGCCAAGGTTATGCAAGGACTCCAAGCTATGTCCTCGCTTGACCCCTCCTTCCAGTTTAGCTGGCAGTTTTCCAACATAACTGGAGTCCAAGGTGGTGATGTGCCAGAGCAAGTGAGATCAAGCACCACAAAAGCTGAAGGAGCGACTGTACAACACAGTGAATTTAGGACCCATGCGTTGATTGGAAGCTGTTCACACTGCTGAAATCCCAGTCTGAGTTACAGCTGGCCCTTCTTTCAAAGCGGGCTGCGCTTCTGCAGAAAAGCTGTGAAAACTGTCAAGCGAACGGCCTAATTATGCAAAACGAAACATGCAAGTGCACACTGAAAGAACGGTTATTAGCGGAGAGTGACTACTGATGCCCCAAATAAACGTGTGACAATGACTGCAGGAAAGTCCAACCAGTTTTTGCTGGTTAGGCATGTCTTTCAAGGTAGAGGTAGTAGGTAATCTTTCATGTTCCTTTGCTGGCACTTGAGGATGTTCTCTTAAGCAGACTTAGAAACAGAGATCTTTGCGGTGAGTAGAAAATGATGGGAATCTGGTTTTACCTACTTCAAATTCGAATCTCAAAGTGGAAACGCAAAGAGATTCTCTGTCTCCTGAAACACAGCATCACTCTTGTCTACATTGTTTAGGAAAACATGCTGGCTCCTTATTTGGGGAAGACTGCATCAGCTAATGTTTCTAATCATCCCGAGTTCATGTATTACAGAATTACAGAATAACAGAGTTGGAAGGGACCATGGAGGTCTTCTAGTCCAACCCCCTGCTCAGGCAGGAGACAAATGCCTCAAATTCTGCTTTAGAATTTCCTGATGAACCCAGAGGACTTTCTGCAAACTTTATTAACACCTTGGCTGAGATATCAACTTTAGAAGAGCTTAATCTAGAAAAGTCGGAACTGTGGCCCACTAATTCACAGTATATTGACCGCGATGACTTGGAATTAATGGAGTTCAGAGTTCGACACATATGGCGAGCATCAAAGTGAAAAACCCGGTATATTTTAAACTGTCACATTATCGCCAACTCCTTTCTTCAGTTATATTCGGCTTGTAATAATAGCAAAATGTTAAATGGTCTTTTCAGTTAAATAGTCTATGGTGTTAATCTCAAAGACCATAAAATCTGAGGATAATGAACTGGTTGCCTTCAGTAATCTATAACTGTCTGCAGCCATTCAAGCCTACGTAACTCTAAGCCCTTAAAGGTAAAATCACCCAGCATGCAAGCAACATTTTTCACCAGAAACACTGATGGAGAAAGGAAAGAGAATTCCAGTCCAAAAAAATGTACCGGCCTCTCAATTCCAAACTAAAAGTGAATATTAGCCGTTATTAATCTCAGGTGAACAAATGTTTTGATGTCATGCACTGAAGCACAGGAAGGATTGCAAGAACAGTGAGTAAAAAAAAAGAAAAAAGAGCTACTTTTATAGTCATGAACTCTGATGTGTTGATCTGGATTTCCTGCCTTTCTTGAAAATTTAAATCTACGATTTATTTTTTTTTACCTATTCATGAAATCTCAGAAGTGTCAAAGGGGCAAATCTTGTCTGTCTAAACAAGGAAGTAAAAATCCTTCCAACTCAAAAAATATTACACTGCCTTTAAAATAGAAACCCAAAGTAAGTGCTATTATTAGATCTGCTGTAGGGAAATATGCTGCAGATATTTAACGAATCTTCTCTTGAGATGAACGAGGAGGACTTCTAACTATAAATAAAACATCTCTTCATCCATTGGCGAGAAGTTTCAAGATGCTATCAAATTTTAGGGGGGGGGAAATCCTTTTCAGTGTTTTTTTTAAAAAATTTTTTACATAAGCTTGGCGTTTTGGGTACCAATCTTAAAACAAGGCATTTTAAGGCAACAGGATGGTTTCCCGGTTAGCTATTTAGCTGCCCTGCCCAGGAAATCAGCTGGAACCAGACAAAAACTTATTAAAAGCCAATAGATTAGCACCTACACTGGGATGTTCATATCAGCAGCAGCCTGAACTTTCATTCCTCGCGGACTTAAGGTTGACTCAACCTTCCATCCTTCCGAGGTTGGTAAAATGAGGACCTAGATTATTGGGGACAATATGCTGACTCTGTAAACTGCTTACAGGGAGCTGTAAAGTACTATGAAATGGTATATAAGTCTAAGTGCTATTGCTATTGTCCATTGCTCTATTTTCCTCTGAGTTGGCTGTTCTGGATTTCACAAAAGGGTTGAACTAGGCCTCCTGTCTGCATACCAAAGCTTGTGTGCTACCACAAAGTCATGAAGTGCTTCATCACTGGAGGCTTTCAAAAAGAGACTGGACTGCCATCTGTCAAAAATGGTGTAGGGGCTCCTGCTTGGGCAGGGGGTTGGACTAGATGACCTACAAGTCATCTTCCAGCTCTACTCTACTCTACTCTACTCTACTCTATTCTACTCTACTCTACTCTAGTCTAGTCTAGTCTAGTCTAGTCTAGTCTAGTCTAGTCTAGTCTATAATCTGTTAATTCTATTCTATTCTATTCTATTCTATTCTATTCTATTCTATTCCATTCCATTCCATTCCATTCCATTCCATTCCATTCCATTCCATTCCAATCCATTCTATTCTATTCTATTCTATTCTATTCCAAGCACATTGGTTTCTCAGTGGGTCTACCTTGATGATGGTTCTCTTGCTTTCCTATCAGTACTGCTTAAGACCAGTTGCTTATTTTGGGAAGCTGTCCGATTCACACAACACATGTTTTCGGTGCTACAAAGGGAATCTTCTGAGATCTCCTTCTGTTTCACCCAGGCATTCAGAATAAGGCATTGGGTGAGAAGACTTAATCCTCCCCTCCCTTTGCACCCTGCAAGTCGGCACATGTGTTTTTCTACCACTGCAGGTAATTTTGGATACAGCAGTAATTTTTCTTTCCTGCATAATAGCCCACCAGAGAGTTTGGAAATGACTAAAAACCTTCTCTATTGTATGGAAAAGATAATCTGCTTTCTGCCTGACTTCTTCTTAATTGTTCTCACTCAGATGAAGCGTGGAAAATAAAAGGAGTGCAAATGGTACAAGCAGTCAATGCAGCTGAAGAAATATGTACAATCCACAACAGGTTTTTTTTAAAAAAAAAAAAAAATCACTGGGTGTCATTTAGAGTTGTGCCAGTGTGCATTACTGAAAGCCATTCTTATTGAGTCTCTTTTATTGATGGAGAAATTCAAACTGGTTTGGTTTATATTGCTAGGATTTGTGTTCTTGACTCTTTTTTTTTCTGTTGCTGTCATTGTGTTTGCATTTTGATTGTCCTTTGACAGAATCTCTACGGATGCAGAGTGGAGGACTGGCTCCTACTGTCTGATATGGGGAAACTGAGGTAGACAAGGAGTGATGGAAGAAGAAATGGCTTAAGGGAGAAAGTGGAGGAAGGGAATGAACCAATAGAAGAGGATTTTTGTAGCTCAGAGTTGAAATCTGGGGTTCTTGGTGCTCTCTGAGCTTGGTGGTTTTCTTGCAGATGTTTCATTACCCACCTAGATAACAAACCCCACTTCCTTCCAGCACTGATGATGTTACCTAGTTAGAGCATAAAACATCTGCAAGAAAGTAAGCAAGCTCAGAGAGCACCAAAGACTCCATAGCAAGCAAGCAAGCAAAATATATATATGTATATGTGAAAATCTCTCTCTTGCCAAAATTGGCAGGGCAAACTACTGTATATAAACAGGGACCAAACCCCACTCCCTTCTAGCACGGATGGTATTACCTAGTTGGCTTATAAAATGCCTGCAAGAAAATCACCAAGTTCAGAGAGCACTAAGGACCCCACAGAAGAGAATTACGTTAGAGTCCCTGAGAACCAGCCCAGTTTGTAGCATAAAATATTCTCTCTCTAAAGTCCTTAAATCCAATGGTAGACAACCTTGGTTAATACTGCAAGGCTGGCAGAGATCCCAGTTGGTGGACACCCGGCCAGGATGAGAAGATAATTGAAACCGATGAGTCAAGGGCCTGCAATGTCTTTTAAAGGTCTGGAGATGGTCTACAGCCCAAATGCCAGGTTAAAAGTTCTCAATGGGCACAGGAGATGTCAAATTACAAATGAAAGCTGGGCCAATCCTTTGAAGGAGGTGCTTCAGAACACGCAGGAGCACACCAGAGGCATCCAACCGTGGCAACTTTAAGACCTCTGGACATGCTGGCTGCGGAATTCTGGGAGTTGAAGTCCACCAGTCTTAAAGTTGCCAAGGTTGAACACCCCTGCGGTACATTCTGCATCTCCTTTTGCTATCATTAAAGCAACCGCATCTGGGAAACTGCAAAGCCAAGGGTCTGCTGATGCATAAACAGGCAGGGACAGCTGGGAACTGCTTTGGCAGCAGCTGTGAGCCAGGAACCGGCCTGTCTGCTTTAACAATTCAAAAAGAGGTGTGCGGTATGCTCTCCTGGGCTTTCTGAAGCTTTCTTTCAAAGGATTTATGCACCCCTGTTGAATCCAAGACAGAAGACAATCTACAGTCAGCTTCTAATAGGCTTCTTCATTTTGTATTTCGTCTCCAGATGAAAAAAAATGAACAGGACGAGGCAACAGCCGGCAATTTCAAAAACAGACTCAATCTAGGCTTGGCAGTGGAGAGGTGATGCTCTTCAGAAACCCAGGATGTCTTGTAATAAACTTCAAAAATGCACACGTTATTTGGGATGGTTGACAAAGGAGCCTTCACAAGAAGGTTAGGTATGGTGAGCTGGCGAAAATGGATACTGTTCCCTCCAAAACTCGATGGACCTTCTAGATTCTAGAAATTATCACATTAGGAGATTTCTCCGTCTTGTTCCACAAAACACTTTGATTCTTTCACAAGCTGCATTTGTTGCTCCGGTGGAAGAAATTCAGTCAAGGAGCAATGAATTCAAGGCCTTTTCAGTTTCACGAGAAGGTTGAATAGGGAGAAAAGTAGGCAAACACAATCCTTAATGAGGAAAATCTCACATAAGAAGGAATGTGAGATCAGAGGACCTGGGCAGAAATGTGGGCTTGTTAAAAGCCCTTTTTTCCCGATCGATTCATGAACTGCAATAATAAGACCCAATCATCTTGCAATTTCGTCTTTCTGCACAACGTGCAGCACTTTAGGCAGATGCAAATACATTTTGCTTGTCGGGGGAAAAAAAACACATACGCGCGCACATTCAGCTTTTTTACATTGCTGTCACGTACAGAGACCCATGGCTGCCATCCATGCAAAGTCTGCTGTGTTCATTGGGCTGACTGAATATTCAAAATGAGCCAGTAAGAGGAGACTTCAACCATAGTTTCCGTTGGGAACACGTGACCGTCCGAGTCCATGCCAAGTCCCAAAGTGCCAGGGAGTTTCTAGAAGCCTGACACTCTGACAAATTAGCCATCAACAGACACATAGACATTAACCACATCTATAGACTAAGCCAAAGAGACAATCAACCAGTCCAAAAGGGAACAAAAGACTCCAGCACCTCTCCACCAGCAGTCAGCATCCAGATCAACATAGATTAACTCCAAGGTCAACTTCAGACCAACAGTCAAGTAAACAATACTACCCCAATCAAGAAACTGCCAAAGAGCCAACAGTAACCAGCCCAGTCAAAGAGCCTCTAAGGACACCACCACCACTACCACCACTAACCAAAACATAAACGGATAGCAAACAGCACTGATGATGTTACCTAGTTTGGGTAATGAAACATTTGTAAGAAAACAAGCAAGTTCAGAGAGCACCCAGGACCCCTAAGAGGAGATGATTATTACAGCTTACAGATAATCCTTGACTTGCAACCATCTGTTTAGCAACCATCTGAAGTTGCAAGAGCCCTGATCACATCCAGGCATCTGCATTTACAAATTAAGCTGTGAATGTGCCGAGTTAAGAATTCTCTCTGGCCATGTCCAGAAGCTTTGGAGGGAAGTGATCTAATTAACCTTAGAAATACATTTTTTTTTAAAAAAATAAGACCAATCCTGATTAGTAGAGACAACTGTCATGATGAGGACTCCAGCTGGGAAGAAAAAGGAATCCTGTCTCTTTGTTGAATGATGAATGTTAAACAGAGAGAACTATTGGTATTATTATGTAAACTAGCTTTTCTGGTGTAACTTTATAGTAGCTCATAAAATATTCTATTCAGGCGATTTAGTTTCATTGATTTTGAAAGCCTTTCTGTGTGATGAATCTCGAGCAAAATTAAAACCTTCGGGGAGGGAATACACTCAAATAAAAGACAAAAGTCAAAGCTAAGAAAGATATAAAGGAAGAAGCTGCTTGTCATTTCACAAGTTTTATAAAAGAGAAGGAGTGGCAGAACCTGGGGTGGAGTTAAAAGAGGGGTCAGCCTAGAATCCCTACATAGGCACAAACAAAGTCCAATTTTCCTTGAGTTCTGTTGACCTTCATCTAACCTCAAGCAGGTATTAACTGTTAGTTGAGAAGACTCTTGTGCCTAAGAATGATTAGCAATAAATCTGTTTCATTTCATGAAGGGACCTGATCTTTCACACCTGACATTTGCTATCCCAACGTGCTACGAGGGAACTTACATTACTTCCATTCGGGCCACCCGTGAATCATTCCCGCCCGAGGAACTGACTTCGCAGGTGTAGTCTCCAATGTCCCCTGACCACGTCTGGCCAATGGTGAGGCTGCCATCTTTCTCTATGGTGATTCGGGAGCTGCTGGATGGATTGATGATCACGGCATCCTTCTTCCAAGTGTACCTGATGGTCACAGTACATCAGTCTATTTTGTTAAACATGATGAATGTGCTGAAATTACACGGCAAAACCATAGGTGAATAATCTAAGATGGGTGGACTTCAACTCCTTGAATTCCCCAGCCATTCATGCATGGCTGTCTAGGGAATTCTGGATGTTGAAGTCCACCCATCTTGAATTTGTCAAGTTTGATAAAAACTGTGATAAAGGATGCAATCCTTCTTTATGGACCTCAAACACAAATACCTCGCATATTTTTTTGAGGTTGGGGGGGACAAATTTGAAGCTATGATGGGCATAGCAAGTTTGTGTTGTGTTTTCTTGGCTTCACTAAAAGTACCCAGCGTTTGAGTTTTGCTCCACAAACTAACAGGAGCCAAAACTCTTCATTTATCTATAGGGGAAGCCCAAGGTTTTATTTCATTTTTAAAATATGTTCCATCATACTGTGTGATAAACAACTCCTTCCATACATAAAGGTACACAGGGCAGGTTTCCTCTCCCCCAAGCTGTTATTAAATGTAATAATTAATATACTAAGAATGATCAATAATACGGTATAAGTAGATATGGTCTTTCATGGCGCCTACAAAAAGATTAGACACTTTCTGTCATTTCAAAATTCAAGGTCAGTGATTTGTAAAGGGCAAGCATCTCAAAAACTGAGATTAAAGAATAAAGGATGTTTATTATACCAAACTTAGAATATTCTCTGCCTTGTCTTTCAAAGCTGCTGCAAAGGTTTCTTAGGCAACAGGTGAACAAACTTCACTCTCCAAAAATACTGTGTAGATGTTAATTATACTTAGCCTGAACTTCTTATGCTGGTCTTCGATAGCAATAAAGATTTTATTAGATTAGGATAAAAGATTGCAGGGTGGGTTTGTGGTGGGGCTGGTCCTCCTTTATCCTTTCTCTGTGATTTCATGTCACAAATTTGTAAAATAGAATCCCTGCTTTAAACCATTTATAGTGGGACGTCTACTCAGAATCCTACCAGGGTTTATGAGAACAAAAAGCTTCTAAGATACTGTTTCTTCTTTATGCAAGTCTAGGGTTTTTTTTTCCCCTTCCTTTTTTCCTTTTGACAAATGGCATTGTTTGATGTTTTCTAAGGGGAATGGAAGCATTTTAGTTAGATTTGGATATATCTATATTCATTCTTGTGTATGAAACACAGAAGGGAATCTTTTGATCCCCTGCTTGTTGAGTTTGTTAGTTTAAAGATTCACTTTATCTGGTGAATCTTTGGTACTTGGTATTTTTTCTCGGGGAGGGGGGTAAATGTGACGCTTCTAAGGCTTCCCCCAAACCGATTTGCAAAACCAATTGCCTTAAACTGCTTTGGGTTTCCTTCTCATTAAGGATCGGCTTGTGACAAGTCGGTTTTATTGATATTGTGTTAACCTTGACAGTAAATCATAGGACATTGTATTGAAATCATGAAGTGAAACGTGGCTCATCGTAAATAATGTATATGGTTGTGGCGGGGAAAAAAATAAAGAGAACCGGATGTGATTATTGGCATAACTTACCATCTCAAACTGGGATGGTTGGGAAAACCAGGGGAAGCCAACGCTGATGGCTGGGACAATTAAGCTGAGATAAATGATACCAACAACCACAAACACAATCAACCTGATCAGCCCAATTTCTGCTACAAAGAAAGTCCAGTTGCCCCTTGAAAAAGCACCTTTGGGACAACCGTCACCTGGAGGACTGAGAATCTCCATTCAGACAACAAACCTGATCGAAATCCTTGGGTCGTGAGCAGCTTCACACTGCAGCATTGCTGTTGTCCCCTTAATGACAGTGCTGTCCTCTGGAGGGCGGGCGATAAAAGTGCGATCTGAAAAGGAGACAACCCACAATTCAGGTCGAATTGCCTGTTTCCATCCTGGTTTGGGGTTTTGCCTTGGGAAGACTGCAAGCCTGGTTACTCGTTATCCCGCCACCCAGCTCCTGAAGACAGCCTCTGGCTGCAGGTTTTTAGGAAGTGAATGGTGAAGGTCTCATCCATTGCTAAGCTTTCGGGGGGGTGCGTTGTAAAGAGGGTGGGATGACACAAAAGTAGAACCAACATGTTAGCCCCGAGACACCATTGCGAAGGGCCTTCTTTTTGATGCTTCGGGGTATGTACAAAGAGCAACTCCACTGCACAAAGCTCAAAGCCAAAGATACAGCAAGACATTAAAAGGTGCTGTACGTTTGTATTATATGCTAAAGTTCCACTGGAGATCTTAGCCTCTCCCAGCCTCCCTCTGAACTGATCCGATGCTGGATAACAAGCAGCTAAATGCTGGATTTAGATATGGTCCCATCCCATCAGGAGGATGCTGAGGCCTGGCCAATGAACAGCACTTTGGGGTGACTTCCATCTAACTTAAGTGATCTTGAGATGCACCTCATTTCTTTTCCAGATCTTTACAGCGGGACGTGGCATACAAGTATTTTTAATACATTAGTAATATTAAAAGTTGACATTGTCGCAGTATTACTGTCTCCCTTCTACGTATGGCTGGGTTCTCCCATGTTAATTTGGCGGCCTTCCTAACAAAGGATGAACAGTTGCAATCAATCAGACCTATGAATGCAGAGGCCACCTTAAGAGGCTGCCAAAAATATGCTGGCTGCTTCTTTCAGGAGAGATTGTTAAGGTGGTTCTCAACATTGCTTCTAAAAATCATGATCTTATTACTCAGAGCCTGCCCTAGCCTCGTGACACCGACGCTTTGTCATTAGATTCCTAATTAATCAGCTACAAGGAGAGCCGATTAAGTCAAGATGAACAGGAACGCTGAAAAAGAGCAGGGTCTTACTCCACACGGTGAGAGAAGCAGAGGCGTTCAGGGCGCCTTCGGAGTTGACCGCGCAGCAGGTGTAGACCCCAGCATCTTCGAGGAAGACAGGGTTGATCTGAAGACCGCCAGACCCAAGGAGACGGAACCTGGAGAGCTGAATGGAGCCACTGGCCAAAATCTGATTCCCTGGAACACAGCAAGTGGAAACAGCCTCAGTCCTCTTGACTTGCAGGGCATGAAGATGTTAATGCTATGCTCATTTGTCCTGGTGAGCGACCACAATTTGAGTGGATTCCTAGCAGAATAGTAAGCATGTACCCCTTTTCCATGCAATGGCGGGCTTTGGAGCTCCAGAAACTTCACATCTTAACACGGCACTCATCCCTTCGGTGATGGTGGCATCTGCCGGGGGCCAGGAGAAGGTGGGTGCCACATCTGGAATCGAAACCAGGAGTTTTGTTAAAAAATGGCCAAGAGAACATCTTGAAAGTTCAGAACATTTGTGGAGTTTTCCCCCACTGTACCAGAACGTCATGATAACCCCAAGCTCCCCTCGCGGGGTAGACACCAAACGCTCACTGTCCCTCTCAGAAGAACGCTGCCCCTTGAGCATCAGCCACTTTGAGATCAAGCCAAACAGTGGGCTTTTGAGAAGAATGGATGGACGGATCACATGAAGCCAGGGCTGTTGAGTCTTCAATTGCAGGATGAAAAGCAATTTCAGTCTGACACCAGTTTGCAGGAATTAAATGTCAGCCAAAAGAAGTTTCCATTTGATTCAAAATATTGCCATGTGCTCCCTTTCATAATACCTCTTTGGCTTTCTCTCAGCCTCTGATGCAGACGTTCAGGGGGAGGGCCTTATTATCTTCAGCTCAGAAAAAGATTTTAGACGTGTGAATTTGGTGGAAGGCCTAATAGATAGCTAACAGCCTACACACTGGGAAAGTTGAAAAGCAGGTGTCCATCCATCCATCCATCCTCCCAGAATCTAGCTCCAGCTGAGAAGACCACAGGTCCTTCTAGCTGACCCTGCCATTGCTCCCTTACATTCAGATAACCCTGCACTGTTCCCTGATCTACATGGAAAACAGCCATTATTCTTCGTATTCCCATTTTTTTTATCTCAGTGTGGGACCAAAGTCTATTTTCTGGTTTTTTTTATTGCTCCAGAGATTCTAAAGGAACAATGGCATTAATTTCCCCAACCAACTGCATTGAAAACTCAGGAATAGCTCTGAAAAAGCTCCAGACTCAGCCTGGTTGACCCCCAATTTTTCATAAACTTTTTTTTGGGGGGGGGAAATGTATTTTTCTTCGGAAAAACTGACAGTGGATGCAATGGGTAGGGAAGAGAAGCGGCCCACCTTGGGGAGACAAATGCAGTCAGGAAGGAGTAAAATATGGCCACCACAAAATCTATGTGGAATTTAAATGAGGAACTCTTGAGAGGGAATGACCCTCCCCTTTTGCCATTTTACTCCCTTCATTCACTTTCCCGACAACTTGTCAAATGCTGCTTCCTAAGCTGTCAGGAGTGTGACACTACTGCTGGAGAATATGGTGATGGGGGACGTCTCTCCACCATTCTGTAGAGGACAGAAGCATTCAACAGTGTGGGCGATAGCAACACCTTATGTAGCCACCACCGGCTGTATGCTTGAGATGAGAAAATGCAATTGTAAGTAAAGGGTGGATTATTGAGGAAAGGCTGGAAGGAGGGGTCAAGAGAGGACCTAGCTTGGAGTCATTGTGCAGCCACAAATGGCATTTGTTTGATCTGCCCCAAGATCCATGAAGCTTAATTTGGTTATTCCCAGAGGAAGGCAAGCAGTCTGGGGAGATTCTTGTAACACAGGTAATAAGCAATAAAGCTATTGACATAGGCTAGCCACAAGTGGCTCTGGTTACTTATGCCTGACAGAGTCTCACTAAGTACTGTAGCAGGTGCTCCAAAACCTTTCTTTAATTTCCACACCCCCTTACAGACTGTGTGAAGATCCAAACTTACTGGTGACCTCAAGGTAGGTATGGCTCTCTATCTCGCCAACCTCATTCCTTGCAAAACACTGAAAGATTCCAGAATCTTCCGGCTGTGCTCTCCGAATCTGAAGAGTTCCGTTGAGTAGCACTGTGTAACGAGGATGAACTCGTTGGCTGATGAGGACAGCGTCCTTATACCAAGCTAGAAGAGGCCGTGGGATGCCTGCGTGAGACCAACAGAGAGAAAACATGTTCAGATTTGCACTCTCACCAGCTTTTTTTTTATCATGAACCTCTTTTTTGGGGGGTCCTCCTCCCCTTTGTGACATCTAGAACAACCGTCTTCGTTTCTCTCCCCCAAATATGGATGCTTAAGAAAGCACAGTACATATAATTTATCAAGTTGCATCAAATTAAGAAGAAATCAATGCCTTATGAACTCAAAAGTCAATACAGTCAATGTAATTGTATGTAAAAATTCTGTCCTCGGTTTACTCGTCTTTCTATTCAGACGGAAAGTTGCATGATTTTCCAAAATAATACAGAGACAAATGAGAAAAGAAGGGTTCTGAAAACGAAGAAGGAAATATAGTGGCGATAAAACTATTTCTGTACTAGGATGTAATCAGTTCCTGAAATCGCACTTGAAGCTTCCATTTTGTTAGAATAATAAAGCCATTTATTGTCTTAAAAAATCACCTTCTGTGTGCTGGGTGTTTATTTGTGACAAAGTAGACGCAATATTGCACTGGGAAATAAAACGCGATTTAAAGTTCATACCAAAGGCTTATCCACAGAAATTCTGATTGTCAGAATCCTTAGCAGAAGCACAATTTACTTCGTGAAGCTGCTGCAAACTGAAATTACTACAGACTGGAGTCATGAGGAAGCAGATAATGCGAAAATGAAATAGTCACCCAGGACAGAAATAAGGATGGAAATAGCTTGAAGCTTGAATAACAATAATTCTTTATATTTTAAAGGGAACATAATAGAATTAAGTCTAGCATTTGGCTTATTCCTTAAATCCCTTCTGACTTATTAATAATATTAATTCAAAAAAAATCAGCGGGGAAGCTAATTTTTCAACTGTAACCACAACTGCTGAAATTATCCTCTGAAAGGAAGGACAAAATGCTCACTGATGCTTTGTCTTCGCAAAGAAAGCCTGGACGCATTCTCAATCAGATGATACTGAATTGTAGATAGGGGTGCTTCACAGTCATTGGAAACCCATTAAGCACCCGTGTTCCTCAAAGATTTAAGATACCTGAAAAAGTCCCATCTGGGTAAATGTAACCAGGTAAATGGCATCCTTCAGGAGGCGATAGAAAGTGTTTTTTTAAGAGTGCTTTTGGGTTCATGGGGAGGTGCTAGGAACAAGGAGTCTGCTGGATGAAGTAGAGAACCATCTGAGATGTTAGAAGGGAGGGGTGCTGGAAGTGGCTGCAGGGATTCCCAAATGGGATCAGTTGAGAGAAGTTGTCCAGACCACAAAAGAATGGTTCATTCTGATGGAAGAGAATATTTGTAGCTCAGGGGGTGAACTGTGGGGTCCAACTTGGTTGTTTTCTTGCAGATGTTTCACGATCCAACTAGGTAACATCATCAATGCTAGAAGGGAGTGGGGTTGTGGAAAGGAGGAGGAGGAGGAGGAGGAGGAGGAGGAGGAGGAGGAGGAGGAGGACTGTGGTGTCATTGGAACTCTTTGAGCTTGGTTGTTTTCTTACAGACATTTCATGACTCAACTAGTGCTAGAAGGGAATGGGGTGGTGGGGAGGAGGAGGAGGACAAGGACTATGGGATCCTTGGGGCTCTCTGAGCTTGGTTGTTTTCTTGACCCAACTGGGCTTGGTCATGTTTCTGAGCTTGGTCATGTTTCATGACCCAACTGGGTAACATCATCACTGCTAGAAAGGAGTGAGGTTTACAGAGTGGAGGAGGAGGAAGACGGTTGGGGGCTTATGTTCATGAGATCCAGACTCAAAAGTGACTCAGCCATGCCGTGAAACGCAAAGTGCCTCACCATCAGTCCTTCTCAAGAGATCTACGCTTCCTTTCGGTTGTTTTGCATTAGCATGCTAAAAGAGGCAACGGGAACCTCTTGCTGAAGAGGATCCTTTTGAGAAAGGCGTTTGGATTTAAGTGGGATTATAAATGTTTTGCAAGGTCTGGTCTGTTCAAACATCTTCCCGTTAAAACGGGGATGAATGAAGGCTATCGCAGAAGTGTAACTGCAGCTGGACGTCTGTTGCTGCCGACATTTTCCTCTTCTTGAAGAAGCTCCATAATTTTAAGAAACAAGGAGCTTTTGCTGTTGCAGTTATTGACTGCTTCTCTGCAACCTAAGTTATGGGTCCCACAGCAACTGTTTCCCTTCCATTAATCCATCCGGCTCAAGATGTTCAGCCCTTTCTTTATGGAGCACTCAAAGACCGAAGGGCATCTTCAGAACACTGCACCTTGCCAGCCTCTTTGCTATCTATATTGGGTTGTTTAAGAAAAAAAAAGGTAGTGTTTTTTTTTTCTCAAATGACTAACCCAAACATAAATAAATTGCAGTCAGCTGGACAGCTCCATCTTACCATAGCCAGGAACAGATTTTTATTTTTATTTTTTTTAAAAAAGCATAAAGGATAGATACAGGAAGTCCTCTTCTTACAACCACTTTAGTGACAAAGAGTATGACGGCAATGGAAAGTGACTTACGACCAGTCCTCGCATTTATGACTGTCGTAGCGTTCCCGTTGTGATGGGATTAAAATTCAGGCAGTTGGCAACCGGCCTGTATTTATGACGATTGCCGCATCCTGGGGTCAGGTGGTCGCCATTTGCAACCTTCCCAACAGATAAGCAAAGTCAGCTTAGTGACCGGGTGAATCATTTAACAACTGCCTTTATTTCTTTAACTGCCATGGCAAAAAAGGTCTCCAAATTGGGCACTTAACTCTGGTCCCAATTGTGCTTTTAAGTCGAGAACTACCTGTACCTTTTTAAATGAATTTCTTTGTTCATTACCCTACTTACCCGTTGCTTGGCATGGGATGCTCACGGTCTTCTGTACTTCTAGCAAAATCCGGTCTTCCGGTTCAGCGGTAAAATACGGTGGCTCTTACGGAAGACAAACCAGAAGACCACATTAGTTCTTCTCCAATGGTAGAGCTACTCTCCTCGGTTGCAGAAGATCACACTCAGGTACGAGCATAGAGAAGACCCACTCCCTTCCAAGTCTTCACCCAGCCCTGTCACCCCGATGGGTTTAATATAGTGTTACAAATGGAGTAAGTCTGACTTTTAGTTTTGAGTTCACAGTTTCTTTTCAGCGACGGGCTCGTAAAAACCACCTCAGCAATTATCGGCGTTGAGGAACCCGCATTTCAGAGCGTATGGAATCACTGCCAATTCATATTTAGAGTGCCACACGGCAGATTAACATCCGAGCCGAGGGCCTTCTTATTTTACAAGCACGAATCAGTGAATTTTTCAATTCTCTGCTGAGAAGGTTCTTCCATAAAGGTTTTATTTACAGCAATAGATTAGATGAAAGGGTCGGCCTCAGCTTCTGCTCAATAACCCATGCAGCTTCAGACATAAAACACGAGAGCAGAAATGTAGCACGGCGTGGTGCATAAGGATCCCATCAAGTTTTCCTCACGGTGTGCGATGAAGGTGGGAAATTTAAATTAAGCTACGTCACAACAGCTTTGGACTAACTGAGACTGGTGCGGCGTTCGGCATTCCTACAACCCTCCAGGATTGGTTCTGTGACATGTGAGCAAGCATGCCCACTCCTTGCAAGTTTGGCTTGTCTAATAAGAGAAGACTTCGCTTGCTGTTTAATTTCTATCTTTGAAAGCAAGCTGGGTAGGAATGGCAGCCTCCTAAATTGATAACACTGGCCACTGTCAAATCGAATTAAAGAAAGGGATCTGAAGTAAGCATCAAGCAAAACCAAGGAAACAAAGCAAACAATTTGGGGATATCACTGAGGGTAAAGTTTACTTCCTGCTATTTGGACTATAATTGCAACTTTTCTCCTGGTAGATGGGCTCCTAGGTTTGAATTAATTCGTCTGTGTTCATACATGTTTCATTAGAACTAATAAGAATGGAGTAACTACTGTACATTCCTTCCCTGTAGACCCTATTGAGACTCAAATCTTCTTTAATCCATTTTATCGTGGTTCAGGGTAACCATTTATTTCACCTTTCTAGAAAATCTCAACCCACAAAGGAGCCACCACACAAGAGGCTACCAGTCAGGAAGAATCAGGATCACCTGTTAAGCTCCAGTTAAGCTGGTTTATTCCTCATGCCTACACACAAACAATCTAGTCAACTAATGGTCAGCACTAAATTGGTGCCAGACCAATGGAATTCAAGAAGGATTGAACTTAGATGATTCCTCACTTGATTCCGCCCCCGGGCTCTGCCCGTCCTTCTTCTTCACTATTTCCTTTTTTTGCAACCTTACAAGGTGTCTTCTATGAGTCCCATCTTGAGGTTTAGCCTGCAAAAATTAATCTTTTGGGCCCTTCTCTTTCTCAGCTTCTGGCGTTGTCGAGAGCCGCAAAGGCCAACACAAATTGCTACGGCTACCGCTTGTCGTGAAGTGGGCTAAAGGTTCATTAGCAGAGCCGGCTGAGTTGTTCCATTGACAGCTCAAATCAAGTGAGATCCAGCATTTGTTCTTCACCTTTCTTCAGGCGGTGGACATCTGCCAAAATCTATTCCAGCCACAGCTATGACATTGATGAAAAAAAAAATAATAATCATAAAGGAACTGGAAGAAAAGAAGGGATGGCTTCAGCCATTACTGTACTGGCTGTTAGGAAAACAAGGGTGTTTGGTTTTTTTAAAAAAAAATCTCTGTGGTGCAGGCCGTCTTCCATTCAAAGAAAAGACTCTGTTGAAAGCCAGAAGATGGAGAAGAGGTGCAAAAGGTGGCAACGCATCTCTGCTAAAAGCAGGGACACCCTTCGAAGATTGCAAGTGGAAAGTGACTGGTAAAGTGCAGGATGCCTCACTCTTGCTCATCTAGCGGCAAATTTCTGTAGCTCGGGTGGAGGATGAGGGTGGAGGTTCGTTCTCTGAGCTGGTGGATTGATTTCCGAACATTTCGTTACCAGGCTAGGTAACATCTTCAGCGGAATTTAGGGAATGTCGGTGCCGGTGTTTTTCTGCTTATAAGGGCTTTGTGTGGTCAATAAGTCTTGTGATGTGGAGATCACATCAGGTGAGAATCATGCCAGGTGAGAGTCGCATCAAGTGAGGGTCTTGTGATGGGTCAAGTGTGGGTTGCATCAAGTGAGGGTCTTGTGATGGGTCAGGTGTGATGGGTCACACCTGACCCATCACAAGACCCATCACAAGATCCTCATCTGATGTGACTTCTCCATCACAAGACTTACTGACCACACAAAGCAGAAGAAGACTGACACTGACACGCCTAAACTCCACTGAAGATGTTACCTAGCCTGGTAACGAAATGTGTGGAAAGCCACCCACAAGCTCAGGGAACGAACCTCCACCCTCAATTTCAATCCTTTTGAATGGTTTTTATTTCTCTTCCTGGTCTAAATATCTTTTCCTCTCCTCTCTATCCAGTTTTATTCCTCCCCACCCCCTTGGCATCCCTTCCCTACACAACTCTCCTGTCATCCTGGGGTTTTTTGTTTTTTTTGGACAGCTTCTACTAAAAAAGGGGTGGGGAGAGGAATGGGTGTGGGTGTGATTGTTGCGTGGGTTTACATGTTGCCAAATTTGAGAACGGTGGTTTCTCCGAAGTCTGAATATAGTTGATAGATGTGAATGGGGGTTCATTTAATTTTATGAATGGATACCTAATTTTACAGGCAATTAATTTTAATTCGTAGTTATTAATTCAACGGATTTTATTTTATTTTATTTTATTTTTTGTTCCTACATTTCGGAGCGGCTGTCTTGCTCCTGGCAGAAAGAGACAGGCGCACACACACATAAGTGTGTGTCACACACGCTATCTCATTCCCTAGCTTAATAAACCCAAATCACATCCACATGCAATCTTGAGGGGAAAACTCGGAACGATCTTACGATCTTTCTTCCCGTACATTTTATATGTAATGTCCTCCTATTAATTATTTAAAAAACCCTCGGTGTCTGCTCTCGCTGCTTCTTGGCAACAGAGGCGTCAAGAAATTGCGTCTCTGAGAAAATTAAACCTGTAGAGTGAAACCAATGTGCTTAGCTGTTTGTACAATTTATAGCTTTTTAATAGTATAAATTTTCAACTATAATAGATTTTCTATGCCCAAGTAGACACTAATATATAGAGATACATTTACTGTGGACAGGAGGCAAAAAAAAAACCCCACCCCTAGACATTATTGGAAAGTCAAAGTGGATGGCTTGATTTTCCTTGACCCTGATTTTTCTCATTGATCCTAGGTTATTTGATCAAGGCCATGCTTAACGCAAATCGGTGCATTTGGCTCAGCAGAAAAAGGTGCGATCCTCATATAGGAACCTTGTAAAATGGTACGTGTTGATAGAGATAATAGTCTAGGAACAATCAGGATGAGAGCAATGCCTTGCAAGATCAAGCCATCTTTAAAATGTCTGACTAGAGCTCAGAAACGTAAAAAAAAATATGCATAAAATCATGGAATGGATGAGTTGAAAAAGAAAACCTTGCTTGGTGAAAGAATCCTTCATCCGTTTTGTCATCTCGCCAACTGAACATCTCCAGCAAGAAGAAAACCTCATTACTCCCTTAGGTAGTTGTAAAGATACTCTCAAATAATTCTAAAGCTCTAAAATAATTTGATTTTTATAGTTTCTGATAGGAGCTGGCCTAGATGCATGCTTTCGAGAGTTAGGGGCAGATTGGAAGGCCTTGACCCTGCGTGCTTCAAACTTTGTGGCACAATATTTAGCTGAAAGATGTAGAAAATATAGTTGGAAACACAGAAGAGAATATTTGCAGCTCAGGGTTGAACTGTGGAGTAATTGGTTCTCCTGGAGTTGGGTGGTTTTCTTCCAGACGTTTCATGACCCAACTAAGTAACATCCTCAGTGCTGGAGGTTTGCTCAGAGAGCAAATCCCATTTCCTTCTGTCACTGATGGTGTTACCCAGTTAGATTATGAAACATTTGCCAAAAAAAACAAAAACAAAAAACCAACCCCAGGCTCAAAGAGCAGCAAGGACATACCCTTCCATTTGTCTGTTCATAATCCTGTCCCCCGTACACCAAATTATAATCTCTGAGGGGTCCCAACTCACAGCTGAGACACTCTGACGTATGAGACTGCACTGAGACAAAACTCAATGACTGATAACTCAAAAGATCTTTTTAACCCACAATGGACTTCACGGCATCGTTTTTCACTTTCTCTCTTGTCCTTTTGGGTTAACCACAGATCCGCTTGTCGTCACTGAGCACCGTATTCTCCCAAAGCAAGCTAGCCTGCCCTTTCTTCCACTAGAGAAAAGCAGAATTATAGTTAACTTGTCCTCTTTGCTGTTTTCTCCTCTCCCCCTTCATAGCAATGAGAAATTTGCACTGGCTTGACTTTTAAGTCAATACATTGAACGACATTTAACCTGTTGTATCTTTCAGATTGGCACCCTCAAACTCTTCTAATACCTACCCAGAACTGAACCTTCATTTTACATCATCCACGTGGCCTTTTGCCCGTCAACATCATGCTGATCTTTATTGTTAGTCCTGGTTACAAATTATAAATTGTATCTGCCTTGTAGAGACACATAATTATCACTGTCTATTGATTTCTGGAACAATTCCTTCAGATTCCAGGGTGAACTATTTCAAGTATCCTACCTCGATTATAAACATGACCCATTAAAGACCTTTCTGGAAATCATAGTGTTTCTATTTTATTTTATTTTATTTTTTTGGGCGTACTTAAGATTTTATCCCAACGAAAGAAAGTCTACATATGTAGCCTTTCTAGTGTTTCCAGACTTGTGATGAAATATTCAGTGGACGGCGTTCCCAGTGCAAATAACATTTAGCCATTTTAGCCATGGATTTTATTCTAAACTAGTTCAAGAAATGTTTTGTTGCTGAAGCCAAAACTTGCAGTGTGGTGTTCCTTACTTGTGTCCCCAGCATATGTTTTACGTGCACAATTGGACAAGTATAATTAGGTTTTTATGTGCTACTAAAACAGGGCTTAATAATGCAGCCTTGTACAAGAAACACCTTCAGGATAGCTTAGAAAGAATTATCCCTTTTATATGAGCGCTCTCGTTTTTAAATTTGGGTCTATTTTCCTCCAGATTCTGTTCCCTTGCCAATTAAAACCTTGCAGGGTTTCTGTTTTAAATTTTTCATGAATTATTCCACAGTTTGCTGTGGCACAAATGCATATATATATATAAACGTAACAGACCAAGCTGGATAAAAATTAAAATGAGAAGGACTTCGGGTGTCCAAGGCGCAAGAAAGGGAATTGATCACTAGTGTTGTTCCTGACTTTTTACACTGTGGCCTCTGTTCATAATTTTGTTCATCAAGCAGCCCTCTAAAAACCGAGATTAGCAATAAAGCATGGCACACAAAGAAACAGAAGCTACTAATCAAAGCTGTTGCGATTTTTCAGATCTTTTATCTCTGCTTGTTTTTTTTTTTTAATATTATCCGAACACACCTAAGTGCCAGCCGCAACAGAAGAATCATTGCTTGCAGCATTGCAAGAGGCAGGATCTGACAGTACAGCAAAAATAAAAATAAAATAAAATAAAAATTAAATGAGTTACTATAAAATTGCAGGGTGGCGGGATGGCATAAACTGATTTGAATCCAAATCATAAATAACGGAAACGGGTTCTTGTTCTTCGAAAGAAAAGAGAGGCAATAATTTGAAAAAGTGAAAGAAAGGGAGAAATGGAAGGACGAGGATGGAACTTAAAACCAACCTTGATGTAATTTATTTTAAAGCAGGAAACAGACGACGGGGCTGGAACAGCCTCTAGTACAGAGGGAAGAACTTCTGCTTGACTTAAATGAAATAGGGACTGTCTGAAATGATATAGGCTGGACTAGAAGATCTCCGAGGTCCCTTCCAGCTCTATTCTGAGTCAGATTCTAAATCTTTCAACGCACCTGAATACACAAAGGGCTGAGGTTCATGGCAACCTTCACAGGTTTCTTGTGACTCTATCGCAACAGACGAAGGTGGGTGGTCTTAGGGCACAAGGAGAAAGTCCCTGAACGTCTCCCAGGAAAGGGAAGCTTCACAAGTGTCTTAGCACTTAGACTCGTTCTAATTTGACAATCACAACTGAAGATTTTGAATGGCTTCTGTTCGTGAGGAACAGAAGATACGTACGGCTCTCTGTCTTCCAATGTGCCAGAGCTCACTTAAGTTCCCAGGTCTTGGATTAGGGTGTCTGTGGAACAATTTTCATTTTTCATTTTCATGTTACTTATGTGGTTTTGTCCGGGAGGATGTGTTCATTTTTAAATTAGGTATTTGTGTAAATCAGGGGTAGTCAACCTTGGCTCTTTTATGACTCGTGGACTTCAACTCCCAGAATTCCTGAGCCAGCTTGGCTGGCTCAGGAATTCTGGGAGTTGAAGTCCACGAGTCATAAAAGAGCCAAGGTTGACTACCCCTGGTATAAATAATGTAAGCCACTTTGGAGTCAGGTGGCCTTGAAATCCAATAAGCAAACAAACAATTTCTACAAGAAAGGACATATCCTATTAACATCCTTAATAGTAGCACCCGCAAAGAAGGGATGAATTAATTTTGAAGACTGCCTTACACGCCCTCCTGTGTTTTATCCTCTGTGGAGAAGTTTGATGGGCAAGTCAATGACATATTACAATAACTATTTCAACTGGCTATTATCCTTTGGTTTAAGATGCTTAATATGAAAAAAAAGAAAAAGGAAAGAAACCAGCATTACCCAGGATAGACAGGAAGGTGTTAGCTCTTTCAGGCTGGATGGGGCTGTCGTTCAGTTGTGCCTCACAGACATACATTCCCATGTCAGCTGAAGTTGGGTTCGTGATAGCTAGACGTCTGCCCAGGCTGCCGATCCCATTGAGGATTTTCCCATTCCTCTTCCAGGTGATACTTAATTTCTCAATGGGGCTAGGAGGGGGAAAAAAAAACATGTGCCCGTTATTGCTCTGACGTAAGTTATGACGTTAGCATCATCCCGCTAAGAAAGAACCACAGGTGTGCAGAGAATGAGTTGCTTAGAAAGAAAGTCAGAAGCAGCTCCCAGATCTTCTGCAAAAATATCCAGCAAAAAGAAAAAAGAAAAGGTGGGGAGGGAGGGAAATAGCCTTTCATAAGAAGATGTCCTCCAGAGCTGTTGGTCTTACAAAACCCATAACCCCCAGCCTGGTAGAACCAGGCTACTTGAGAATCATGACAGCTGATATCCAAGGTATTCTAAAGGATATCAGAATGGGGGAGATAGCAACAGAGTCAGAGTCCAAGACCTTTGCTCCTTGACCTATTTCCCTTCCAGGTACAGAAGATAACTGGACAGTTGAGTGTTGCTCTAATACTGGCAATAGAAGGGGGATCATCCTAGTAGTAAGGGGAGAAGGCTAGATTAGGGCATGCATAACAAGCTGTATCTCCTCTTTCCCCCAAGAGAGAAGAATGATATAGTGCAGGGGTCTCCAACCTTGGCAACTTTAAGGCCTGTGGACTTCAGCTCCCAGAATTCCCCAGCTGTGCTGGCTTTGGAATTCTGGGAGTTTTTAAATCTGTAAGGTCTTCAAGTTGCCAAGGCTGGACACCCCTGATTGAGCATCTCAGTAAACAAATACAGAGAAAGTTCAAACATTCGCTGAAGTCTCTGAACATCTGCTGTTCTTTTATTTTGTCCACCAGTAGGGCAGGCTCAACTGACGTCCAGCGACCACATTTAATTATAAATGGTAATTTTACTTCTTCATGCTAATGGTTTGTTTTGCCTAAGGGAAGGATGGTAAAAATAAATGCGACTCAGGGGGTACATCCGTATTGAGAAATACGTCCATTATAATTCAATTATAAATAATTGAAATAATTGAAATCTCTGCTTTCATAGGAAAAGCTGGCCCTCGAAGCATTCCAGATTCTCTTCCAGGGTGCATCTTTTCCCTCTTTTCATCAAGGCCAGATATTCAAGTTGCTCAGAAGGAAAGTGTGCGAGTTCCCAATTTTCATTAAGCACTATTTTGGGTAGAAGAGTTGCCCAGCAGTCAATACTTTGATTTCCTCTTTTCCAAACATTTATTTTTTGCCCAAAATGTGGAACAAAATGAGAAGTCATTATTGATTTTAAAAATTGTTAGCACTCTGGATAATTGTCACAAACAGTGGCCCAGAGGAGGTAAATCTCTGGTGTTTGACAGTAGTTCTACAAATAATGTGTGTATGTATACATATATATACATATATACATACACACAAAAAACCCATATATACATATATATACATACATGCATTTTTGAAATCTGTCTGTGCCAAAAGAACACATATTTTGGTGAGGTTGCAAAAAATAAAGTTGGCTGCAAAACTGACTAAAGAAAGTCGTACGGAGCAATAAATACAGATCTTCCAAATGGTTTGTCTTAGAATTGAGGGAGGGAGGCTGGCCGAAGGTCACCCAGCTGGCTTCATGCCCAAGGCAGGACTCAAACTCGCCGTCTTCCAGTTTCTAGCTTGTTGCGTTAACCACCCCAACAAATTGGCTCTCTCGTCGGGGGCTGGGTTTACCTTACCTGCCATTGGCCAGACACTCCAGGATGGCTCCATTGCTCCCAGGGGTTGCACTTGAGTTATGTGGAGGGATCACGATCGTGGGGGTCATGGTGTTGGTTGAGGCATCAGCACCTGTAAAGAGGAGGTGGAAGACCGGCAAGGGGTTAAATGCCAATCAAGGAGAAGCTCAAGGTGGAAATGAGGGGTCCTTGATGTCCTCTGAGCTTGTTTTCTTGCAGACATTTCATTACCCAGACTAGGTAACAACAGCACGGATGATGTTATCTAGCTGGGTAATGAAATGTCTGCAAGAAAACAACCAAGATGAGAGAGTACCAAGGACCCCACATGTGTCTGTCTGTCTGTCTGTCTGTCTGTCTGTCTGTCTCTCCCTCCCTCCCTCCCTCCCTCCCTCCCTCCATCCATCCCTCCATCCATCCATCCATCCATCCAGCTGTAAACAACAGCCTAAGTTCAATGCCACCAACACTGGCGGGGCAGGGAACTGTATATAAACAGTGAACAAGCCCCACACTCACTTGCACTGATGATGTTACCTAGCTGGGTAATGAAATGTCTGCAAGAATACAACCAAGCTCAGAGACCACCAAGGACCCCACGGTTATCGTCCTCCCCGTTCTCCACTCCACAAACCCCAGTCCCTTCTAGCAGTCCATTCACCCAGACCATCATTTGTATTGAACATAAGAGGTTGATGGGTGGTGGGATCCATCTTCACTGTTCTCTGCTCCCAATTAGGACTGGCAGGGCTCCAGGCCATTCCATTGTAGATACCCATAATGTATATTGTACTTGAAGTTTCCTGTCACTGGAAGCAAAGCAAATTCTTTTTTTTTCCCCTCCCCGCTACCAAGCACTTCTATTTTTATCAACCACTTGCTGATTTATATTTTTAGGATCTTTTCATGTTCTGTTTACTCTTATAAGTTCTGTGCGATCTTAATAGAGGCTTTCAAGCGAGTTCTTTTTTTAAAGAAATAAAACCTATTTTTTTACATACACTGGTGAACGGGAATGAAATTAACAAAGCAGCAGATCACAACAATTTCAATCCTCTTTCCTTATCGGAAAAGTAAATAACCCAAATCGGCTTCTCTTTTGTGAATCGACAAACTGTAAATAATTTAGCTTATGCAATCCTCAGACACTTCAGAAAAAAAGATGGCAGAAGGGGAGGGGGGCAATCCTGCCAACTTCGCCCTGGCTCTTTTCAAAAAATTCAGTGCGTGTATTTAATAAGTAAATTAAAATACCAATATGCTATTGCTATTGCTTCGAGCTATTCATTTGGGGAAAACACAGTATTATTTCCCTACATGAACAAGAGAATAATAACAGATTGCTAAAAATAAAAACGGCAATAAAAGAGTTGCAAAGGGAAGGAAAATTAAACCATGTCTAAACCAATGCAAATCCAAACCGGCTCATCAAACACTATACATTAAGGCAGCTTAGCATTATAAAACCCCAAATTATAAGTTAATGCAATTTAGAAGTAGCAGCTGAAATATTTCAAATCCTTCCATCACCAGCGCAAACATCTATTGTAACAAAGCAGAGGGTGAAAAAAACAAAACACTTTATGGTAAATTTGACTCCTTTGTATCTTGAGTGGAACAATATTGTAATTTGGGATACACACAGGGGGAGGGGGATGGATTTCCCAAAAAACATCGCTGCAAATACCACGGAACTGGAACCGTGGCTTAGCTAGCATGACCCTGTGGCCAGTTTGATTGGCTTCAGACTGTTGACCTACGGTAGCCATGTTTGTAAGGTGAAGATCCACGAAAGAGAGAAGGATTATGGGGTCCTCGGTGCTCTCTGAGCTTGCTTGTTTTCTTGCCGACGTTTCGTGACCCAAACTAGGTAACATCATCAGTGCTGGAGAAGGACTGTGAGGATTGGAAAGAAGGATCCCATCCAAAGCAATGCAGGCACTTTCCGGAGGGTCGGCGTGATTGCCTCCTGATGTGGAATTCTCACCACGCAGAGAAGATGAAGGCCAGGCAAGAAGCAATTCCTGACGGGGAGAATGGTTAGTCAGTTTGCCTCCTAGAATTGTGGGTGCTCCATCCCTGGAGATTTTCCAGACAAGATCGGACAACTGTTTGTCCAAGATGGAACAAGGGCTTCTGCCTAGGGAAGGGGGTTGGGCTAGAAGACCTCCAAGGTCCCTTTCCAGCCCTTGGATTCTATGACGAGACTGAAAGAGGGTACCCACGCTAGGCCTCAGAATAGATTAACGTTTGTTTCTGAAGAACAGCAATACTGCCAGAATAACTGAAATTGATAAAGGCAGCAGCGTTATTAAGGACTAAAGGGAAACGTTACATTCGCATTCCGTTTCAAATGGACCAATATTCTTGCGCGTTTTCATGGAGCGCCATATTTATCCACGAGAAAACGTGAATGGTTGAAGGATGTGGCTTATTCTTTTTATGGGGCAATCCGCTTTTAGGATGGATTTCCCGCAATTTATATACCCGCTTTATGCCCGTAGGACTGAATAGAGAAGGACCTCGTTTTTAGAACTGGGGCAGAACGGAGAGATGGAACATCTCTCTCTTCCTATTCTAACAAGAAAATATTCAATGAATGTGTGCGGATCCTTCCCAACTTCAATGCTCAGGTTCTAATGTAGCATTATATTCTTTTATTTTATTTTTTTCAAGCAGGGGAATGATTAGAATGGAGTAAAATGTGGAGAGGCCAAGAAAGACACTTTTAATTCGGCAATGCATTCACCTCTGTCTCTCATTCCCAAACATTGTTTTTTCTTCTTTCTTTTTTTCAGTTCTTCCACCACTTCAAAAGGAACCAAAGAACCAGTGAGGACCTGGGCTGACTTCTAGCCATTCATGCTTCGAGAATCTCTTTGTGCCTAAATAGATGAGTAGGGGAGATGGAATGACAGCAGCAAAGTGGATAGAGGCCAGGCTTCATTAGCTGCTTACTACTAATTGCAGGGAGAACAACAGTGTCCAGCATCAATGCTTATTTCATTTCCATTCATCTTATGTACTAGAAGCACCCTATTAGCAAAATTAGTCATCTGATAATGGTTTCCGAACTTGTAGAGTTAAGATGAGGCTGATAAGGACTTAATATATTTCCTTTGAATCCTGGCACAACGGTGGAATAACAGTAGCCCTTTATCTAACGGAGGACTAATGTACTTATTATATTGAATATGCTGCATTGTTCAGTTATATTCAACACGTCAAAATGTTTCATGATCGGCTCGCAGGAGGTCAACCAAGGAATAGTTATTAACCGATGAATAACACTTCATATTTCAGAAAAGATCTTATAATTAGATGTCCACTTTCTTTTTGACATATTTTTATTCCCAGAAGACGCCGTTCCCAAATGAGTTTGGACGTGCCATCAAGTGCTCATTGATGAATCAGAGAGACGTGGAGAAGACCAACGGTGGTACGTATTCATGCACAAAGAATAACAGTCAATGGTACTTTCTTTGCAAATGACAACACAGTTTTCTAAAAAAAAAAAAAATTAACTAGATCTTGAAACACTATGTTCCTGGCCTTGTCTGAAAGCCATTGAAGACCCAAAGAAGAGACAGTCTGTCTTTCTCCAGGAAAGGGAGAAGAAGCTCCAGTTTTTACTAGTCCATGTCCACATTTTGATATAGTGGCCTCAATGTCAACTTCTCCATAGTTGGAAGATATCGGTATGCTTAAACTTAGGGATGTCAAGGGGCAATTTGTTAAATTATCCCAGTCTTACAGACATTACAGTCTAGGAAGAACCCATCTTATGGCCATACCCAAGACCTAAGAGGTTTGCATGACTACTGCCACCAGGAAACCAAGGACGTTAGCCTTGAAACCATAATGGAGTCACTACTGTGTATAGACATGTAAGAGAGGAGCAGGCAGAGCTGGGGAGGAGGGGAGTTAAATGTGTCATTAGTTTGGAATCCTTGCATTGCCACAAGAGATCCAAGCTCTGCCCACCTTGAATTCCCTATATCTAACACCAATTTAGTGCTAACTGTTAGTTGACCAGATTCTTCTGTATAAGTATGAATAAATCTCCTATGCTGCAATTTTACCAATGATCTTGATTCTTTGCATCTGGAGACGATGGAGATGGAGATAAGAGATGATAGAAATGGAAATGGAGATACATCAGAGCCTAAGAGACATCTCCCCACAGAAATGGGGCTAGCTTAAACCGACCCAATTTAAGTCTTACTTTTAAGTCAACTGTTGCTGCCTGTTTGGGTAGGATTTTTGTGTGTCAGTTATTTTGCTGGCAAATGAATATTATTTGCTAGCAGAACCACAAATGTAGAGATGAGCTCAGCTCTTTGGATAGGAACTACTCGTGCCATTAGGGACCAAATTCTTCATCCGAGAGACATTTTGAAAAACATTGCAAATACTGAAACGCTATGGAAAATTAAGCCACATATTCTAGCACTTTCCAGTTACAACTCAGCGGCTCACCTCAAAAGCAGGGATAATTTTTGTCCCCTGTTCTGAACTCGCTTTCTAACAACTCTTTGCATTCAAAAAGCAATTTGGAAGTTCAGACTGTCACTGACCCGACTTTCCCCTCATGCACAGCGAGAGACTTTTTTCTCTTTCTTTTCTTTTTTCTTTTTCCTTTCCCAGAAATGAAACAGCTGCACACATCGTCATAGCTTTTAACTTGAATATATACATATATATATATATAGCTGTGAGACATATTTTATCCAAAGAACGTTCAGGTAGCTTTTCATAATTTTTTAAAAGCGCTTTGATATCAAATACACGACTTCCAAGAGTGTGCAATTTTGCACAATGAAAGGGAACCAGCACTGTAGTTGGACAGCATGAACAATTAGGCTTTCAAAGTTTTTCAAGGAGAAACAAGCCCCACATCCTCTTCCCAGACAAACTTCCAGGTGGGAATCAGTTAATTTACATCATTTACCTGGCCAGAAAACCAGTGGTTGTTCCCTTAAGGGTGGAATTTGCAAGACAAAAGACTACATCTGAGTAGGAACCTAAAACAGCAGATCAAATGGATGCTAAATAGAATTGTAGAATTGACCTCCTCGGTGTCCATGAACACTGGGCGTAGTATCCTAGGGC